GCAGCAGCAGCAGCAGCAGGAGGAGGAGACAACGCGTATTTGTTTTTTCCTGCGGATATAGTGGAGGAGTTAAGAGACAGTCTAGAAGTATACACCCCAGCTGATCTTCGTGGGGCCCTAGAACAGCCAAAGAAGCTGCATGCGCTCTCGCTGCGGCTGCTGCTGCTGGGGGGACAGCACTATATAAACTGCGGCTTCTATCGCCATGCTGCGCTGCTGCAGCTGCAGATTGCTGCTGCACATCTACAAGGAGGAGACACCAGAGAATGTCAGCTCGCTATACACCGCATGCTGCCCTTCTTCCTCAAAGAACCATGGACTGATGTAAGCCTACTGTCTCCTTCTCACGTGTCTCCTCAGCTGTCTCCTTCTCAGCTGTCTCCTCAGCTGTCTCCTTCTCACCTGTCTCCTTCTCAGCTGTCTCCTCAGCTGTCCCCTCAGCTGTCTCCTTCTCAGCCGTCTCCTCACCTGTCTCCTTTTGTTTCTCCTTTTCTGTTTCCTTCTCTATATTCTTGGCTGTCTGTCTTTGTTTCTTCCCCATGAATCTGTCTCCTTTTCTGTCTCCTTATCTTTTGCTACTCACCTGTCTCCCCTTCCTTTTTCTGTCTCCTTTTTCGTATCTGTTGGTGTCTCCTTTTCTGTCTCTTTGTCTCTGGATACATCTATCCATAACCTGTCTCCTTTTCTGTCTCCTTATCAGTCTGTCTCCTCATTTCTCCCCTCTTTTGTCTCCTCTCTCTCTCTGCGTTTGTTTGTCTCCTCTCACTGTCTCCTATCTGTCTCCTTTCTCGTTAGACTGTCTCTACAGTGTCTGTCCCCTTCATCTGTCTCCCTTTGTTTCTATGGGGTCCCCACCTATTGTACAGCTGCAGCTGCTGTTACAGCAGCAGCAGCAGCAGCAGCTGCTGCTGCTGCTGCTGCATCGATGGTCCTTTGCTTTTCTCCTGCTTTCTTTTTCTCTCTCCCTCTTTGCGGCTCTTTTCTCTCTGAGGTCCCTCTTGTATTTGTCGTTGTTCCCGAACGCTGCTGCTTCTGCTGCAGCAGCAGCAGCAGGGACTGTGGCCGAGGAAGACACTGCTGCTGCTGCTGCTGCTGCTGCTTTTTTTTGTGTGCAGTTGTGGGTCTGCTGCCAGAAGCTGCTGGCTCGAGCGGAGGCCCTTCAAGGAGACCGGAGCGGGGCCCTTGCGACTTTGTATGTGCTGAGCAACTCTGCTGCTGCTGGTAGACAGCAGCAGCACCACCCGCAGCAGCAGCAGCAGCAGCAGCAGCAGCAGCAACAGCAGCAACAACAGCAGCAGTTCGACTGCCTTGAAGGCATCGAGACAGAGGGCCCTGACGGCTGTCTCCGCCGCTTCATCGCCTTAGCAGCAAGCAAGGATGCTGCAGCAGATGCAGCAGCAGCAGCTGCTGCTGCTGCTGCCCCCTGTTCGCGTAGCGACTCCTTCCCTCACCAGCATCATCAGCAGCAGCATCAGCAGCAGCAGCAGCAGCATGACGATGGCGACGCGGAGAGCGGCCAGTGGAGCGCGCTGCAGGAGGATGTAGGCTTGCCCCCGGGTTTACTAGATAAGGTGTCTGNGAGAGCGGCCAGTGGAGCGCGCTGCAGGAGGATGTAGGCTTGCCCCCGGGTTTACTAGATAAGGTGTCTGTACACCTGAAAGCAGCCCCCAACCTCTTCGCCTGGGTTGCTGCAGCACCCCACACAAAACCACCCGGGCAGCAGCAGCGTACAGCCCTTCCAGTAGCATACCTAGCATATGTAAGCTTATCACTCTCTAAGAGGTTTAGGGTTTAGGGTTTAGGGTTTAGGGTTTGGGGTTTGGGGTTTAGGGTTTAGTAGGGTTTAGGGCTCAGTAGGGTTTAATTGGGTTTAGGGGGTGGAAAGGGTTGAGTAGGGTTTGGGTTTTAGTTACTTGAGGGTTTAGGGTTTAGGGTTTAGGGTTTACGTTGCTTCCTCTTGCGCCAACTCTCCTTGTCAGGTGTCTCTGCCTTTTTTTGTTTGTTTGTCTCCTCCTGTGTTTGTTAACTTCTATCCCCTTTTTTATTAACTTTGTTCTTTCTGTTTGCTGTTGCTGCTGCGGTTGCTGCTGCTGCTGCTGCTGCTGTTGTTGCTGCTGCTGTTAGGGTTCAAGACCCAGCGGGTCGCTGCCGCTGCTGCGGGGGGGCCCCTCGCGCATGCATTTGGGTTTCTCCCCCCGCGACGGGGTGTCTCCTTCTTGGTGCATGCAGCTGCAGCGTGCTGGCAGCAGCTGGACAGCAACTTCTCGTTTCTCTGTTCCCTCAGCCTTTGCGGGGGGGCCCCCCCTGGGGGCCCCTGGGGGGCCCCCCCTTGTTCGGGGTTCAGGCATGGGCCCCCGGGGCTGGCAAGGAGAGGGCGAGCTAAGGGGCCCCCATGCTTTCAGCGCTGCTGCTGCTGCTGCTGCTGCTGCTTCTGCTGTTTCTGCTGCAGCAGAGACACATGAAGGGTATTCTGTGTATTGGGGGGAGAGAGAGGGGGGTG